GTGCCATAGGTGCTCAGCAAATACATGTTTATTGAATAAAAGAATGGATGAGTTAGTAATGGTTAAAGGGAACAAATACATATTTACACAGTGCTACAATTGACTGGGCTTCTACTAAAACAATAAGAGACTGTCAATATTGTATTTACTTTTAAATTTGCATTAAAGTTAACCTAGTCAAGGCAGCTAAATTTTAAACAGATGGTTGCTCTTTTTCCTATTTCCTTTGGTCCCATAAATATTTGAGATTCATATGAAATAGGATATTTAATTAATTTTATTCTATTTTTTTCTTATAACACTTCCAATTAAGCTGTAATTATTTATTTATTTTTAAAGATTTATTTACTTATGTATACAAGAACTGGGGTACAGGACAGAGGTGTTGGGGGTGGGGTGAGAGGACTCACCAGAGACAGAGTGGGGAACAGAACAGGCAGATTGACTGAAACACACTGCTGAGGGGAGCAATGCGTGAGCCAGGAGAGGTCTGCTGCACCACGTGGGTAGCTCCCTGGCCAGGGATCAAACCTGCACTTCAGTGGCTGGGGATAGCTTCATAGGTTGTGTCTTAACCCCTTGTGCCACTAGGGAGGCCCTGTAATTATTATTTAAAGAAGAAACTCTGCATTTACAAACATAAATGGGTCAAAGGGCTATAAAAATGTCCTTGGTCACTTGTTCTTAAGACACCATCTAGGACTTCTTGACTATTTCTCTAACACATTTATTTATATGTTTATGTATGTAAATGTGTGTAGACATATGTATGCTTGAATCTAGAGGTAACATTGGTTTACAACACTATATGTTTTAGGAGTACAGGTCACACTTCTTTACCATTTGTTGAAGAGACTTCCCTTTCTCCATTATATGCTTTTGGCTTCTTTGTCATAAATTGGTTGTCCATAGATATGTAGTTTTATTTCTGGGCTCTTGCTTCTATGTCATTGTTCTGCGTACCTGTTTTAAATCCAGTACCATACTGTTTTTATTATTGTAGCTTTATAATTTAGTTTAAAGTCAGGGACCCTTACACTTTTTTGGCTATTCAAGGTCTTTTGTGGTTCCATATGAATTTTAGGATTTTTTTGTTCAAGTTGTATGAATAATGCCATTAAAATTGCATTAAATTTGTACATTGCATTAGGTAGAATGGGCATTTTGGAAATACTAATTCCTTTTTTATTGCAGTAACATTGGTTTACAGCATTGTTTGTGTTTTAGTGGTATAGGTTCCTCTGATCTATGAGAATGGAATGTATTTCCATTTCTTTGTGTTTTCAGTTTTTTCAATAATATCTTATAGTTTTTAGTGTTATAGGTCTTTTACTTCCTTGATTAAATTTATCCCTAAGTATTTTAGTTTTTGCTGTGCTTGTAAGTGATACTGTTTTCATTATGTCTCTTTCTACGAGTTCATTTTTGTATATATAAATGTAAAGTTTTGTATATTAATATTGTAACCTGTAGCTTTATTATCTTTGCTTATTATTTCTATCAGTCAGTTTTTTTGCTGGAGTATTTGGGGATATATATATATATATATATATATATGTCATAAAATAATGATAGAAAACAACCTGATATATATATATATATATATATATCTGCATAGCATGACATCTGCATAGCATGACAATTTTACTTCCTGTTTTCCAATCTGGATGCTTGTTTTTATGTTTCTTGACTAATTGCTCAGGCCATGATTTCCAATGTTATTTTACATAACAGTGGTGAGAATGGCATTCTTGGCTTCTTGATCCTGCTCTCAGAAGGAATAGCCTCTAGTTTTTCCATGTTGAGTGTAGTGTTAGTTATGGGCTTGTCATATATGGCCTTCATTATTTTTAAGTATGTTCCTTCTGTATTCATTTATTGACAACTTTTATCTTAAATGGATGCTGAATTTTATCAAATGCTTTTTTCTACATCCATTGAAATAGTCACACAAATTTTATCCTTCATTTTGTTGATTCAATAAATAACATTAATGGATTTGTATATGTTGAGCTATTCTTTCATGTCTAGAATAAATCCCACTTGGTTGTGAGATATGATTTTTTAAAATCTTTTTTAAACAATATTTGCTTCCCCCCACCCCCTCAGATTGCATCCCCATAGAATTTCCTTCCCCAAGGTACCTGGCACCATCACCACAGTCCCCTGTGCTCCTCCCTCCGAACCCTCTCCCTTCTCCTCTCCTGCAGTATGTCTCTGATTTATAATTGTCTGTTTTTGCTTTGTTGTGTCTTGTACTGTTATTATTTTTTTTACACTGATGTCTTATTTGGTTCCCCTATATTCCTGATATAAGTGAAACCATCCGATATTTTTCTTTTTCCTTCTGGCTTGTTTCACTGAGCATGATTCCTTCTAGTTCCATCCATGTTGCTGCAAATGGCATGAGTTTATCTTTTTTGATTGCTGAATAATATTCCATTGTGTATATATACCACATCTTCTTGATCTAGTCATCTATTTTTGGGCATTTGGATTGTTTCCAGGTTTTACCTATTGTAAATAGTGCTACAATAAACATAGGTGTATAGGTGTTCTTTTGAATCAATGTTTTTGTGTCCTTTGAGTAGATCCCTAGTAGTGGAATTGCCAGATCATATGGTAGCTCTATTTTTAGTAGACTGAGGAACCACCAGACAGCTTTCCATAGTGGATGGACCAGTTTGCACTCCCACCAGCAATGTAGGAGAGTTCCTTTTTCACCACATCCTTGCTAACATTTGTTGTTGCTTGTTTTTTTGATATGTGCCATTCTTACTGGTGTAAGGTCTTAGTTTGGTTTTGATTTGCATTTCCCTGATTATAAGGGATGTTGAACATTTTTTCCATATGCCTGTTGGCCATTTGCATTTCCTCTTTGGAGAAATGTCTTTTAATTTCATCTGCCCATTTCTTGACTGGATTGTTTATTTTGTTGTTGTTGATCTGTGTGAGTTCTTTGTATATCTTTGTGATCAGAGATATGATTTTTTTAAATGTGTTGTTGAATTCTGTTTGGTAGTACTTTGTTGAGGATTTTATATCTATATTCATCAGAGATGTTCACCTGTACTTTTTTTAAATTGGTGCTGCAGAGACTCTTTATTGAATAGAGAAGACCTACAATTAAAAAAATAATAATAGAAAACAACCTGATAGAAAAATGTACAAGAGAGAACAGACAGGTCATAGATAACAAACACAAATGATGTTTAAACTTAAAAAATGATGTCCAACTTCACTCAAATATTGGATGATGTAGCATTATCTATCAGATTAATATTGAAAATAAAGAAATTTGATCAATTCGGAATTGTCAGAAGTTTGAGGAAGCACTTGATCTTATACTTCTTTTGGAATGTTAAATTGATAAAGGACAATCTGTTTAAAAATTTATGGGTATATATCCTCTCACTACCAATTTAACTTTTAGGAATTTTCCTATATTTTCTGTAACTTGAGCAAAATGACTATCTAAGCATAGTTATTGCACCATGATTTGTAATAGCAGAGGCTTTGAAACAAGTTTGTTTGCCCATTTATGGAGAGCTGATTAAATGTATTATGGAAGGCCTTGGTATATTATGCAACATTTTAAAAGAATAAGTATTTCTTCAGTGGTAACTGAACAAAATACCAGATACATTGTTAAATAAAGAAAATTAGAACAGTCTAACATGCTATTCCCACCCCCCCCACACACACACATGCATGCATGCATTTATTATCTTTTATAAGATTGTTTCTCGAGAGGGGAATTGATACGTTGGAATTAGGGAAAAGAGAGAGACTTTCTTTCTATTAAACTTTTTTTTTTTATATATTTTATGTCATGTTCAGACTTTGCCTATTCCACACACACACACAAATTAACCATGTAAATGACACTTAGTCTTTTTAATTGTGAGATGATAATCAATTCCTGTTTACATTTCAACATGTCATTGAAAAGACCTCATGCTCAGGAAATGCCATGGAATTTCCTGTAGCTATCAGAATTATGAAAATCCTGGCTGGACCTGCCATGATTTGACTTCATATTTCTGCAGGAGCTAGGTATTCCGTCATCATGCTTTGCTCCCTGGGCTCTGTGATTAGTGGCCCATAGGTTGGGGGCAGGGGGAGAACTCTTCTCCCATTTTTAAAGAACTTAAATTTCATAATGGTGGCACATTGTGTGATAAGTATATATGAAGCCTGAAACTATCGTTTTGGAAATGTCCTCAAATGGAAGGAGGGAATGTAAACTCATAATCCTGTCTAACAGTGTGTTCAGCTTTATTTTTCTATTCTTACCGAGGAGCTGCTGAGTGTCTGTATAAGCAGTTTCAGACAATTTGACCTCAGGCCTTTTCATTCCTTATGAAGGAGTAATCCTGTCAATACCTCTCTGACCTAGAGAGGACAGGTCAATGAAACTTTGGGTGACTTAGAGTTACTAGTTAGCCTAAAAGGACTTTTATATACAAGATGGTGTGATTGGTTACTTCTATTTCACGTGGCATCTCATTCTTTGAGACTGTATGAGTTTTTCTTAAAGTAAAACAGTCACTGATTTTGCAAATTGTTTTTGTTCGTTTTGAGTAATGAATAGGCCTTGTAAGTTATTAAAAAAGATTGGTTTTCTTACTCTCATTTAAATGATGAGGTAAAGGTATAATTAAAATAGATTGTGAAACTTTTTCATATTCTCATGATAAACAGGTGACAAAGCTAAAACTTGCCACACAATATCATATTGGACAAGAAATGTGCCCTTATTTAAAATATTATCAGTGACTCATGTTATATGGGCACTCAAAACAGTAATAACATTACCATGCTCTATATGAGGCACATGACAAAGTGGTCTGAAAATTGGTTAAGGCTCCAGCATTCATTTACACAGCATTCAGATCAAAATTAATTTTGACTGAAGCAAATGAAACTGCAGAATTTAAGGGGGTGAGAAGTGAATTGTCTGTGTTCACTTCTTATTTTTATCCTCTCATTTTCCTTAGTTGATGTTCTTCTCAGATGCCAGAGACCAGTCATGGTTGCCAGATGACTGGGCTTTGCTGGCTCATCAAGGGGCTGTGGCAATGCTTGTTTCCATGAGAGCTGGAAGAAAAGATGCAATGGAAAAAGCACATGCAATGGTTTGTAAGTAGCTGGCTGTGTAATGCTCAGAGCCCTGTGTTCCTCTAAATATGAACTTAGTCTGATAACTCCTAGATCTAGGGCTTTATGCATACAAATTAAAATGTATGCAAGTGGAGCTTAAATGATTTTAAGCAGATGCAGAGCGCTTTGGTTAATCTGTATACATTCCAGTTTGTAGGGATAATCTGCTCAATTTGGGTAGTCTGCCCAATTTGATATCAGTAATTTCATGGCCAGGAGAATTGGACATTTTGGGGTAAATACAAAAAAGTTCTTCATTTCTGGAAATATTATAACCATTTGAGTGTTTAAGAGATATGTTTTTTTTCAAGATAGATTCCCCTTTGGGTGATCAGACAGTTGATGTGAAATATGTAATCTGCCATGAAATTTGATGGTAGATTCTGGTCTTAGGACTTTTGTTCTACTGAAGCCCATTCTCATGGTGTCATTTAGAAGTATAAATAAATATAATCAGATTGCATAAAAGTAGAATATATAAAGAAGTTATTGAAATGATACTCGTGAAGTTAAAGCAAGATATCCTCATAACATAGCTTCACAACGGCTATCAATATTTATGCTGATGGGAGCTCTAATTCAACCCCTTCTTTTCTCATGGCTTCTCTGCATGAATAACTTGGCTGCAACAATGTCTATCTTTTATAGTTGCACAGTTTCTCTGGCTGATGATAATGTTTTTCTCCATAGTAACAAAGAAGAATAGACATTCTTTTTTTAATCAGTTTTCAAATATTCTCATTTAACTCTTGGTTTGTATGGCCTAAGCACTTTCACTGCTTTGGCACTATTGTTGCACATACTTTTGAGGGGAGCCACTTACCTCTTTTGTTTGCCAAAAAGAATCTTAACCCTCAGCATAATTATTTCCCTGCCTTGTGATTATACTATATACAAGTCTTTTGGTCCTAAATCACTGTCAACAAAGATTGGAAACAGCAGTCAGAAGTGCTCTCCTCCTTTGAACAACTATATAAACTATCCTCTGCCCCCATCGGTTTTACATTGTGACACTTCTGATCGGTATGGGAGTGTTGCTGGACTGAAGAAGAGACTGTGGGAGGAATCTCCTGAAAGCTGAGGTTCTTTTCACTTCCTTCATGTGTAAACTGCAGCATCTGCTCCATACCTACAAGTGAACAGCTTGTTTTCCAATCAAAATGAATTCTTCTGCAATTCGACCTTTTTTGGGTATTAGGTACACTTTCCAGAATATATGTTTTTAGGCCCTTGGGTATTTGAACCATTTCCTAGTCTACTTTCCCAGACATAAAAGATACCATGTGTGAAATATGTGGAATGAGAATGTCAAGGTGTTTGGGTGGATTCTTTCTGCAGAAAATATATTTGCATTTTGCTGTTTCACAGTAAAGACTTTAAGTAGAGCAAGTCTAAAAAACACCTCTTCAGAACTGAAATAATTTATGTCTGCTGGTATAAATAGAATCTTCCAGAATATAAGCCAAGGAACTACCTCAAATGCCACCTCCTTTATGAAGCTTTGTTCAATGGCCTTGTGGAAAGAAAGCAGTCTTCCCTTTGCTGCTTTTCCAGGCACTTTTGCTTCCATAAAAGCACTTGTCTTATATCTTTGTTTATCTCTAATTACCTTTTTTCATTTTTCTCCCCATTTACCATTGAAATTAAGGAGATATTTTATTTTATTCATTGTTGAATTCCCCTAACTGCTACATCAGATGCCTAAATGTAGCCATGGATCAAGCACCTACCTCAACCTGATTTCCTTCACTAAGAAGGTCTCTGCTACGACTGTGTGCAGAGGACTCAAAGCACTATTCACACACTCTTACAATGACTTGTTCAGATAGATATTTCTTCTATTAGAATGCCAGTTTCTCAGGGACAGAACTATGTCCTCCATCTGTATTTCCCCAGGACCTTGGTAGTGCTGGGACACAGAGAGTACTGATGAAATTTCTATTGAATGAATGTTGGATTTATTCAATGAACAGTGCCCTTGAATTATATGAATGGAAAAGATAGGAGCCTATTTTGCAAATTTAGATTTACTGCATAATAATGAAGCATAAATAACAGTTGTGCATCGCAATACATATACATGCTAACATTCTTTTTATTCCTGGAGAAACAGAAGTACCAGAAAAGCATTCTGCTTCATTACCTTCAATCGTTATGGCAGGAAGGATGTGTTGCTTTTAACTTTAATACTTAAAAATTAATCTGTCATCTCTTAGAATTTAAATATAATTGACTGTTGCAGTTCTTGTCTGACTTAGAGTTGCACTTTTAAATTTTCCTTGTATGAATTGATAGGACTGACTATTTATTAGTCTATGTCCCCCACAAATGTAAGGCCTGCGAGTGCAGGGCAAATCTCTTATCCCTCCATTCTTAGCATGGTGCCTGCAGTGTGGAAGAAGATCAATAAATATTAATTGGATTGAATGTTAAAAAAAATAGTGTATGATTCAGTTAGAAAGTCTGTATAAAGTTTTTAAGTTAACTTTAAAATGAAATTTCTTTTACTTTTTGGGAAGAATCACTGCAACCAAATAGCTTTAGAGAGAAATGTTGAAACTGTTACTGAGAAATCAATGACTCACCTACTTGAGTACCTAAATGTTAGAGATAAGCCACTAGGGCTATAGAAAAGGAGCCGGTCAGCAGGAGTGTGAAGACTCAGATCTGCCTCCCAAATGGTTGGGAAATGATTTTGTATCACATTTTGGGAAGCAGGTTTTGGGAAAATATCATTGACTGGGGAGTATGATGGGGGACCAGAATGAGGATTTAACAGGAGGTCATTGGGTAAAGCAGACAGAGAGATGAGGAATGCAGAGTTAACTGAAGGTCACTGGCAGTGTTCAGCTTTTGTCCATATTTGGACTGATGGTCAGATTCTTATGATGCCTGGATGCTTTGTGCATGAGGGCTGGAACCAGATTGCTAGGTCTTCTTTATCTAGAGAAGCAGAATTGCTTGGGAAGAACAAGTTAGTTCTGATATAACAGAAAGTTATCTAATTTAACTGGCTATGCCAGAAATCAAACAAGCAAAAATGGTTAGAATTGGTTAACAGCTAAACTAGGGGCAGGAAGAATGAGGGCCAGCTTTGGGGTGGTTTTGTCTTTGGGGGCTGATTTTAAAACCTTCTGAAGATGGTGGTATTTATAAGTTAGAATATAGGTATGGTTTTAGTTGTTCCTAAAGTCTTCCTTTTGAAGATTAACCTTCATTCCTTTATAGGCTTAATCCTATTTGTTTTCCTGTCTTTGATTCTCACCTGGAGAAATAGATTTTTAACAAAAAATAATGTGAGGAGAAATAAAGTAGATCATAAAAATAAAGTTTTCAGCAATCAAATTTTCAGATTGAATCTGACGGAGTACAGGTTTCATTAAAGAAGGGCTTTAGATCCTGCACTGTATCTCTATTCTCACATGAAATGAACTTGGGATTAAATATATACCTCTTTATAAGTTATTCTTTTACTCTTAAAGTGGCATTGAGTAATTTGAATTTAAACTCTCAGGCTAGTTTTGGTCACCTTCTACTTAAAAGGTAATATGTAGTTTGTCCATGAGATTAGTTTTTATTTACACCAAAAGATAACTTCCTAGAGATGGAAAGCGATCAAGTCTTTTCCACTCCTGTTATATAAACTAAGCCACTTGCAATATCATTTACTACTTTAGGTTTTTTTTTTTTTTTTCCCTCTTTCTCTAATGATAGGCTCTGTTGTTGCTTCTGGAGAAATGTGCAGTGAATGAGAATGACACATGCTGGTTTAGCTGTGGGAGACTTTAGAGATTGTCCATTTTGTCCCCTTCATTTTGCACATGAGGAAACAGAGCATCTGAGCTCTTCCCTGACTTGCTCAGGATTTCACAGCTGGTCCATGGCCTAAACTGGAACCTATGTCTCTTGACAGCATGTCAGGACTATCTTTACTCTGCCTTATGGGTTTTCTTTTTCTAGTGAAGCAAGATGCTAACTTCCAGGCAAACACTTTTAGCTGAAACTGACTATCAGAGTTGGATGAGGTGAGAGTTTGGGGTGGCCACCCACAGCTAAAATGTAGAGACTTAATACATTGTAGTTCTTTAGAGAGCCAGCCACTAGACACCATCTAGATAATCACAGGGGGACTACAGTGAGATGCCTGTCACTTAAGGAGGAAAGTGAAGGTTTTTTTCCTTAGAGAGTTACATGAGAAACTGTAAGAACTGGATTGCAGTGTATAGTTACACAATTGTCTTAAAGAGTATGGTCCCAAAGTAAAAAACACCTAATTGCAAAACTAAACAGCAGGTATAAACACATCTAATTTAAAAAGTGTGTCAAGAAGGACAAACTTTAACACCCACCCTTGAAATGACTACAGATTGAGGCATCTAGAGAGGGAGGGGGAGAGGTGAGGAGAAGGTAGGGAGAGGGTGCAATGGACTCTTGTGGAAAGTTAGGGGTGCTTTGATAGTAGGCGAGCTATGGTGACTACACCTGAGGGAGCAAATCATCCACTTCCAAGACACTTACAAGGATGTAAATCAATGCTACAAAACATTAAAAAAAAAAAAAAAACAAACAACAACCCAAAAGAGTGTGTCAGTCAGTTATTAAAAAAGTCCAACCACAAAGCAAAGTTTCCCTGTATGTAGTAAAGCATCATGTACCCCAGTGGTTCACAAACTTTAAGTACACTTCAGAATTGACTGGAAGGCTTATTAAAATACAGATTGCTGGACTCTACCTTTCAAATTCTATGGTCCAAGAATTTGCATTTCTAACAAGTGCCTAGATGATTCTGTTGCTATTTGGGGAGCTATATTCTGACTACTACTGGTTGACAGGTTTATTAGTTTTCTATTGCTGTGTAATAATCACTAAGCTGTAACAAATTTAGTAGTTTAAAACAGCGCTTATTTATTAGTTCATAATTCAGTTGTTCAGAATTCTGGGACAGTGTGGCTGAGTTCTTTACTTGGGCATGAAA